TCAAGATTGACCTTAAATCTGTCATTATTTAAATATTAAAGCTTCCAAAATGAAACTAGTTCATTTAATCGTCTTAGATACCATTGTGCTTGGCATCAGTATGGCTGATGTTATCCTACAGGAGAATGATTCAAGAAAGTTTGATTCACTGTGTCATGCTAGACATTTTTATCAACTGAATCTTTCTTCAGTATCTGTCTATATTTCTGAGGTGAGGTATTATGTACACTATTTACATTATTTGGACTATTGTACTCATCTTTGTCGTCATATTTTTTACAACGTTTCGGCCCTTCAGTATCTGTCTATATTTCTGAGATGAGGTATTATGTACACTATTATTCGGACTATTGTCTTCCCCTTTGTCGCCATAGTCCCGAGTACCCCCCCGCATGGCTAAAGACTGTGTGCACGCTATTCCATGCAGCTGCGGAAAGAAATTTAAAGGGGTGACAGGCCGCCCCCTTAAGGTAAGGCTTCAAGAACACCGCCCACTATGGGATCACGTCGAGATCATATATACCATTGGAAAACTCGTAAACTTAAGGAATCAGCACATATGTTAGGCCACAAAAATCTCCTGAGCCGACCAAGCATAGAAATGAATACTATATGGGAACCAGTAATATGGAATGCCACTGAAAAGCTATAATAACAACAAAAATTGCAATATGAGCCCTGGTAAAAAAAATGCAATGATAACAGTAAAAATTGCAATATGAGCACTAGTAGAAAATGGAGGCTGGAGATATTAGGTTTATAATACCCAGAAATTCATGCAAAAATGTCCTCAAGGACACATGGCTCAGTGGATAAAGGCGTTAATTAGATGCAGTGACAGGACCCAAAGAGTGTGAGTTCAATACCCGGTTAAGGCGGTGGAGAACTTGGAGAGGGAATTAATTAAGCAGGAGATAACTGATGGTAGACATGGTACGTGGAACGAGAACAGTCTACCCCAGTGAGTAAAATAAAGAGTTGAGTTCGACATTCCAACCACCTGAAGAAGGTCGGAGCTTACAACGGCCGAAACGTTGTGATAAATATGGCGACAAAGAGACAATTGTCCGAATAATGTAAATAGCGAATCTTTCTTGTACCTTTATAACATTAAGCCGTGCATTGAATATGTTGCAATATATGGTCCGTTCCTTCTGCTATGAAACTTGAGATTGTATTGAGAAATAACAATCTGCAATATTATCAGCCCCGACCTGGCATCTCGGTTTCAATCCCTTTCATACTGCACTAACGTTGTCCCCCTGTTCCTTCTCTACAATTATTTCCATGGTAATTGTTCTGATGAACTTTCCTCTTTAGTACCTCGACATTTGAATTTAAGTAACTGAAATTGCTAGATGTAACTCCAAGTACCATTCAAATAGTGCCTTTTCATGTTCTTACCAACTGCAATTTACAAAAATCTAAATGCAATGCTAATCTCTAGCTTCGTTTTTGTTGACCTTTCTCTTCGATAATGTTTACTTTATTGTATTTTATCCCCCAGCAATCTCTTGTGTTGAAATTGCTTTATCACCTTGATTGATGTGAAAGGATAAAAGAAGAATATATGATATCTAAATATGGAACACTCAAGAAAATGCTAATTGAATGAAGACCACGGAGATTTCAACAGAGGAAATAAATCTACAATATACAAGAACGATAGAGAGACTTGTGACACTAAAATCCTACGTTAAGCAAACACCAAAGACGAAGAAAGATGCTGAGATATTTAGGAATTTATCAGGTTACGGTTGTAAAGTTGCATATCATAGTGGTTAACAATCAAACAAGTATTCACGCAAATTAAATAGGAACCTCCTATTCTTGTCTAAGGGTGACTATAGTCTCCGCTCTTCACATATCTAAATTATAGTAAAACTTGTACAGGTAGCTTAGTGTTAAATGACAACGGTGAAATACCGGAAGACATCAGTAAATTGATCTTCATAAAATTGTAAAATCAGCATGATGGACCAGACCTCATAGCAGATAATTTTTAATCGCTTTCAACTCAAGCAAGGCAGTAAAGGGGTTATTTTCAGTGGATGTATTAGAAAGCAGAAAGATTACTAAGGAGCGATAACAAAAGAAGAGTAATCAAGAGGAAAGTAGATAGCGATTGAGATTACATTTACATTTTTGAAGATTAAAATTGGCTGGAAAGCGTGGAGCCGGAAGCGAGATAGGAAACTTTTAGCATAGAAATTACGGTTACATCTAACCAACTCAATTGTAAATGAATTAGACCTCGTCGCCAGTTTAGTACTGCGCTTACATTGATAAATCTAGGTATCATAGCGAAGAGCTCACCCGAACAATTAATTAGCCCGAAAACCATCATCCTTTATTTACTCAGTGCATGTTTGTGCCGTAATTGTCACCACTCCCCGTCATTTCACAATTGTAGTTCATGGTGACATTCAAGGCAGAAAAATGCAATGACTTGCCTGACCATTTTGCACGGGAGATTTTGAGGTTACAACGTCCCTCCTTTCAGACGTTAAAGAGGCCAGATCTAAAAGGCACAAGTGGATTGAATTCATAGTTTTCCTTCTCCTGGATTGTTTGCCTGCCAAGGCTATAGAGCTCAGTCTGTCCTGCTATTTACCCATAGCTGGCGGTACAGGTTATTAGCACGTAAATAAATGCACTGAACAACGACTGGAATTTGATTTCGACACATTCATTCCACAATCCGGACCTCTATCTACTAATCGACCATGCCTCCGAAAACAGAAAAAAAAGCCCAGCTAAAACGGCACGTTCTTGGAACGTTGCGAACTGGTTGTATATTAGTCTGTAAATACGTTACGATATGTGACATTTTCTGAAGCGTTGAAATCAAATATTTTCCTGACACCAAACTAGGTGACCATCCCCAACGTTGTCACACCGTACTGGTAACATTGCGAAGTGTTGTCGCTGAATACCTCACTAGTCAATATAACACATGGTTCATTTTTCTTTACTTACTAATATATATAGACGCATTAAAATTTCTTTTTATATTTCTTTCTATTGTGAATTGCTAATTTAGATGGTAAATATACGATGTCATACCATCCTGGAATTTACCATCCATTTTGTAAATGCATCTTTACAAGGCAACGAATATGCAACATAATTTTACGGACACTTTGATACGAATATACAAAAAAGAGATTTCAGCAAACTCTCTGTGAAGATTTTTTAAAATTATTTCACTCTAAGCAAGGCATGAATGCCACTAATACGCAGGGGTTTACAGGGAGTGAAAGTGAGAGAAAAGTTTGAGTATTGGGTGGATTGTAGAAAGGAAAAAAGATGAACGGGATTCAATATGACAGAAGATAGGGATTGCCGTTGCATTTAAATTGTTGATGGCTGTAGTTACCAGGGAAGTAAGTAAATCGAAGGGAGTTACACGGATACGGGAAAAGAAACTGTTGGAGTTGAAGTGGTGGTTGCATTTATATATTTCATCAGTAAAAGAGTGTGACCTAAATGCCAATCTAGTAACACGTTTAAATTCATTGCTCAGGTGATCAGAGTAAAAAGCTCGTCAGAGCAGTTGCCATGTAAATATTTGTAGTAAAGCCAGAGGGAAGCAACGTCACGTCGGTAAGAAAGTGACTGTTCTCGAGATGCCAGATCAGAATCAATTACATTACTTATAATTCTTTAAATTTTGTCAAAAACCTCGATATATACAGCAGGAGTACCAGACCTGATATGACAGTAATATTCAATGCCCGGATAGATTTGTAAATGTGCAAAATGGAATTTGCCGAGAAAGATTTTCTGGTACGACACAGCGACCCAAGTTTCCTTGCAATAGATGAAGTACAAAAACATTTTAGCTATGTTATTTTATAAGCTGGGAAGACGGGAATGGTCTAGCTTGGTTCAAGACACTGGAACAAAGAATATATATTGCGAATGTTGGCACAAGTGCTGAATGATCTATATATATATTCTATGTGTTTAAACAAAGAGCGTCGATTAAAAGGGAGATGAAAAACTTGAAATATAGAGCAGTCTTTCCTTTGCAAAGAAATGTTATATGAGTAATCTATGATTATGTCAGCTACGGGAACTAAACTGGCTTCAGGCACATAGAAAATAAATTTAGTGAATAAATAAAAATGGAAACAGGATAACAAAATGTGCTTGCTCGCTGTACTTATTCAACCTGTAGAGCGAAACGTTTCAGAGAAAACTAGAGGGTATTTTATCGGCTGGTGTAACCTTAACAATATACATTACAGAGACGACATTGTGTTGGTGGCAGATCTATAAAGAATACGGCGCTAGATTACCAAATATACACTAGTTGGCCACTTTATTAAATCCTAGCCGAATACCCGTGACTTGCTGGGTGTCACACTTTTTTATACGAAAATGATGACTGATTTTAGAACATTGTTAGGATTTGTTGAGTAAAATGATGCATTTCATTATTACTCAACGATCGTGCCGATGTGACCTCCATCTTCTGGCTTTCTACTCCTATATTTTGGATAAGAGTCATTTCCTTATTCAAATTTAAATTTAATTCAAAGGGAAAATATTCAGTGACGGCTGTGCAAAAACAGCTTGATGTGACCCCTTTGAGATGTATTTAATGAAATATTTGAATGAATTGACCAGCAGATTTCAACACTGAGATGACTGGTGATTTCTTGCTCAACCTGACGTCCATATTGTCTCATTTTGATCTTGCCGATGTGACCTCCATCTTCTGGGTTTCTCCTTCTATATTTTGGATAGGAGTCATTCCCTTGTTCAAATTTAAATTTAATTTAAAGCAAAGGGAAACATTTTCAGTGTTTGTGAATTTGATCAAAAGGAAATATACTTATCCAAGTACCCTGGGTAATGTATTTTCATAATATATATTGTTATGGTGGTCTATTTCCAAAACCCTAAGAGGAGATCTATAAAAAAAAAACAGACAGAGGCTACAACTTTATATATATATAGATACGCTTCTACTTCCTTGTTCTACGAACTTTTGGCTATATCACGTTGAAACACTGGTTCTCGTCCGATCACCGAAGTTAAGCAACGTTGACACTGGTTAGTAACTAGATGGGTAACTGCTTGGAAATACTAGATACTGTAAACCTAGAGGTGCTGGTGTAATAAATAACGTCTTGGAAATCGAAACAGCGAGTTCCAATTCTACTCAGGTTTTTTATATGCATGTAGACGCAGATGCCATTGAGAAAAGCTAGGAATCCTCATCTTCTTCCCTAGCTATGTATTAAGCAGTAAGATTTGTATCAGTAATGTCTCATTATCTCCCAAAAAAATTCTTAATGTCCAAAAATATTTTCTGGCTTTAAATAACCTGCAAAAAGTTGATAAGCCATTAAAATAAATTAACGTGTTTTATTTGTTTATTCGTCTTTTTATTTTCTCTCTCCTTAATAGATTTTTCTCATATTCTCTAACACGCAATAATTATCATAATTCTAGTTTGGCATATATAAAATGGAAGTTATGGCCCTTTTTGCGTGTTCGCTATGAGCAATTTTGTCCTAAATATAATGGCATATACTTGCCTGTCTCACTACCAACGGACTGAAAGTTAAAGTACCAAGCCCTGTTTCATCTTCAAGCGAAAATTTAAGAATAACCAATCTTGAAATTTACGCATCTTTATAAGCATGTTCATTCGCAAAATTAAGTACTATGGAAACGGCTGGGTTGACGATTTTCGTAAGGGGTCGAAGAGATAATTTTTATCCAGATATCAGTCCCCTTCGGAAAGAGGTCATGCTGAGGTAGGGTGGGGGCATCCATTTCAAATCGAATGATGGCATTCAGGTGCGCACGTCGTCTGGTCAGTCACAGCGAAAGATTACTTTTTTGGCACCATAATATGTCGTTAAATGTCTATCTTTCTACATAATTGCAAACACACACACACACATATATATATATATATATATATATATATATATATATATATATATATATATATATATATGAAGAAAAATATACGGAAAAAACAAACAAAAATCCTTATATGCAATTATGCTGTTTTAATGTTAATATAATGTCAACGTCGGACGTTTCGGTCTAATAAACCATCTTCAGGACATATACATAAAATATAATTAACATTATCAATTCAACATGACAAAGACGATGGACATAAGAACAAGACTTATCCAAACAGATAACTGAATTATATTAACATTAAAACAGCATAATTGCATATAAGGATTTTTGTTTGTTTCTTCCGTATATTTTTCTTCATACTGTCGGATCTATATCCATATATTTGCTTACACACACACACACACACATATATATATATATATATATATATATATATATATATATATAATAATTACAACTATATATATTTCATAACTGAAACAATAAGCTGCCAGATCCTCAAACCGATGGGAAAGTCCATTATACATATATATATATATATATATATATATATATATATAACTAATAATAATAATAATAATAATAACCATTTATGTTGGTGTGACCAACAGACAACATGCCGGAAGACCTAATACACGAGAAAAGAAAACATTCCGTAAGAAGGAAAGATAAAAAGGCAAACAACTAGCTACTCAATAAAGTAATGTGGTCAACTCAGAGATAAAGCAAAAAACGTCTGACAACATCAACTCTTAACAAAGGACAACGCGAGTCATTACTCGAGTTTCCCGCTATCGCAATCCTCCCTCAAATTTCGTATATATATAAAAAAAAAAATGTGAGCTACATTTTTTCATAGAACGCCATAAATCTTTTTTTTTTAGTAGGCGCTCCATAATTAAAATCTTATTTAGTCATAATTACTTTCGAAGGGAAGTTTGTAATTTTTTAATAAGAAAAGTAACTTTGCATCTACAGAGCGCATAAACGGGTCCATAATTTTTATCGAGGTACCAATCGACGAACATTGTTATTTATGTAGAATGCTATTCCTTAGGATATGAACCATTAAATATTTGGAGAATGGATTGAAGGTAGGGGATGGAATTTTGTGCTCGTTGTTGTTTTTGTTGTTGCTTCTTTTTTTTTTTTTACTGAGAGAAATGGTCGGTCATTGCCATATTCTGAATAAGGATACGAGTGGCACCCTGGATTTGCGTTCGCCTTCTCACCGAAGTAGATAAACTGTTCTGTCTCGTACTTAATATATTTTGGCACTCGTGTTGTTTATCTTGTACTTGTGTTCGACCAACCAACAGAAGCCATCGCCCCCAGTCCCTCTAAGCCATTCCCGACGCCTCCGTTAATTGTTGGCAACGGTAATAAACAAAATCTGCGTAGTAGATTACGAGATTTAAATCAGTAGTGGAACATTTGCAATTATATTGATTATATATATATATATATATATATGTGTGTAGCGGGATACTTGTATTCGAAGATACCCGTTTACTGGGGTGGCTAGGCAGCCATATTGCAGACGCTTGCTCAGGCGCATCTGCGTTTATTTAACACCCACAGAGCCCTCCTGTGTTTTATACTGCTACTATGCTGAGCAAGACCTTAGTTACAGTTTCTGGAAGAGAGCGCGATAACTAGTGTGATCAACAATTTGAACAAGGCCAGCACGTTCAATCCCTCGTTCACGATGACTT